CTTTCCTGTCCCCCACCCCAGCTTGTCCCCAACCCTGCCTGTCCCCCACCCCTGCCTGTCCCCGACCCCACTGCACGGCCCTTATCCAGCAGAGAGAGACCCCTTCTCCCTTTTGCAGTGGAGAGAGTGATGGTTAAGTCCCGGGCACAAGGAAAATAATTATTGAGGGATAATAAACAATACGGGAAGAGATGAAAAAAAAAAAAAATGTCCTGAACTGGGTGTGAGACTTGCAAAGGGCCTGTCCCAGCCCACACGCAGCTTTGGAGCCTGCTGGTGGCCCCAGCACCAGCATGATGCTGGAGGACCTGCCTGTCCCCAGCAGCGCGTCTTCATCGGCATGGCTCCCTTGGGATGGGTGGCCCTGTGGAGAAGAGGGTGGATTTGGGCTGGGTTGTGGCTCTGTTTGGGGTGTAAAACTGTTCCTGAGATGCTGGAGCTTTGCTACATCCCACTCTTACGGTTTGGTGCCTCATCTCTTTTCCCATAGGTTTGTGTACGAAGACAAGAACATGTCTTCTCCTAAAGTCTATGTCCTTCAGCCTTGGATCACCAACCTCTTGCTGAATTATGAGCAGCTGGATGCCAGTGAGAATCTCCTGGCCGGGCAGGTCCTGCGGGTAGGTACTGAGGGGGACTGTCCTAAAGTGCTCCAAGAGCCTTTGAAATCCAAATTCCTTGAAGCAGTCAGCGGTTCCCAATTCAGTGGGAATTCACCCTTCCTCCTCAAAGTCCCCGATTCTTTTTTTTGTTGTTATTGTTTTTTGAGGTGGACAAACTTTGTTTTGCCCGTTTCTGGTGGCCTTGGACATGCCTTTTCACATCCCTCTTTGTGCATCGTGTCCCAAAGTCACCAGTCAGGTGAACGATGTACATGACGTACGTTACCAAACCAAAGATGTGTCACGGGAGAAGCCCAGGGCTGTAGGGATGGGGTCAGCTCCCTGCCCGGACCAGGCAGGTATGAGACTAGGAGGAGCAGTTTATTGCTTCCCTTGGGGATTGTTTTGACCCAGCATGGACATGGCTTAGTAGAGGCTCAGGGTTGCTACAGCAGGAACTTAATTCAAAAGAAGGGAATGGCTGTAGTAATCCTGCTGCTCTCATCTCCCTCTGCTTTGCAGAGGAGCACACGTCCCATATCTGCCCAGACCCCTTCTGCCTCAATTCCCGCTGCTGGTTTGGGTGTAAAAATGCTTGGTTGTGGCTCCTCTCCCACCTTGCCTTTGATTGCTCTCTCGCACAACGTGGCATGTCGCTTATTCCATCTTGGCGTGGAGCCTGCTTGGTCCAACCAGGAGGCAGGAGCGCATACTGGACCACCCCTTGGCCACGGGGTAAGCGGTACCATCTGGCTTCACGGCGAATGGTGACCTTCTCTTCTAAGAGTCCAGGCTCTCCGCCAG